TTTATCACCTTGACCTACACGTCCTTCTGATTAATAAGAAACCATCACTTCCATTTTTGCAATAAAGTCATACTGAAATCATTTAAGCTTCCAAACTCTAGACCACCCTTTTATTTGGGGTTTAACTGATGGGTTTTGATACAAAATATAAGTTTGTTTTTCATAAAAACCGGCAACGGAAGACTTTAAAAAATAACAAGTTTATTTTTAGTCTATAACAAAACCAAACCATCGTGGATCCATCTATAGAGGTTAGAATGAAAGAAAAACAACAAAAAAAGTTTTTAGAAATAGCATTTGAAGCCTTTGAGCACACTTGATTTTGCAGTGTTGATGAAGATATCAAAAATCAAAGGACATGATTTTATCTATGTGTATCCACCATCAAAAGTAAGATCATTGGAATGCTAGTTCCTTATTGTATTCTTTAATGTCTTAAGCCTTTAAGTGCTTAACTCAAATAAATAATAAATGAGACAACTCAAGGAAGCTTTGAACACCAAAGTAAAGCACTGAACTTCAAAGAGATGTGGCTCTTCCTTACTTATGGTTTTAGAGAGAAAGAAAGGAAGAATACATGATCAAAAAACTAGCTCAAAACTCATGCAAGACACTCCTTTAAATACTCTATGAAAAGTAAGGTCTATCCATTAAAATACTCTAAAGTAATGATAGCTTTTAGAAGCATGGGGGAGACAAAGCATGGATGTTAACAAGCAACCTCATTTTTGTTTAATATTTTCTGCCATACCTCTTGAAAAGAGTAAAATTCTTTAATTTTTATAAACTCAAAGTTTATAAAATATAAACTTTGTCTTTAGGTAAAAGACAAAAAAATTCAACTAGTTCAAATGGTTGTACATGACTTATTATACAATATAAAATAATAACTAGTTATACTATCTTGTAATTATTATATTCATAAAACAATAATTATTCCTTAATTAAATACAAGAATTGATATTATTTATTAATAATCACATTAATAATGATTTTTGTACATATAAATTGGACACCATATCTTTCCACTCCATGTCATCCCCACCCCAAAAGAAGCAAGACCTCATTGATTCAAGCAAGCGACTGAGACTTTAAAGAGTGACATGAAATAGATGCACAAGCTACTTTTGATAGACTTAATCAAAGTCAACCGACCTCCACTTGATAACCTTTTAACTTTTCATGTGGCTAAAATTTTCTTGAATTTTTAAATGACTTTTTTTCAGCTATCAACCTTGCTTTTCTTTGTACTAACCGACAAACCTAAATACGAAAAAGGAAATGTAGCAACGCCACACCATGTAACCACTACAAGATCCTCCACCTCATTCGTATTGATCCTGATACTAAACAATACAACTTTTGCAAGTTAAAATTTATCCCAAACATCAAATAAAAAATTACAAAATAATAATCAGATTAGTAATATTCATTTCGTCCTACTCCTACAAACAAGACATCATCAACATAAAAGAAGTGATTGAAGATCGGTTCTTGACCCGAAATACTAATATAACACTTAAATCATTTATTATCTAATGTACATCCACAAATTTTATGCATCATCGCATGGGGTGAGTCCCATTAATACGTAGTTACAACATCGTCTGAACTCGTAATTCATAGTAAGGGGTTAGAGTATTATCGCATGAATATGTAGTTACAACATCGCCTGAAAACGTAATTCATCACCTACAGGTTATGGGCCTGCTGGTGTTTCAACTGGGTTGTTGAGAATAGTCCGTGGTCGCCATCTATACTCTGGTAGATGACTACATTGCCACATTGCCGGTTAAGGTTATGGTATCTCCTTTCATCCTACATCACCTATTCATCATCATTTATTTACGTAATTATCATCACCTTTCTATCATCCACCTATCTCTCATCATTTTATTTCATCACACACCAACTATTTCATCTACCCATGTTTCATCCTCAACATATTTGTAGATATAAAATAAATATACCGTTTAAATCTTTTAAAACATGTATAAAATCGTTCATCCAACATAGACAACAAGTATTCAAATAATATGCACACATAGCACGTAATTTATATAAAATACTTCATATTTATGTGTAAGATGAAAGTAACTATATATGCCATAAAAATCTCATAAATGCTTCCTAACTTCAAACCCCAAGGTTTACTCTACTAAAGCTTTATATTCTCGGCTCTCTGGACCTAGAAGGGTCCAGATTCCTAACTTCAAACCTCAAGGTTTACTCTACTAAAGCTTCATATTCTCGGCTCTCTGGACTTAGAAGGGTCCAGATCTATAACACAAACTTGCAAGAGGGGTTTGAGGCATTCAAAACCCCAAAGATGAAGTGATTCAATCCTTAACCCTAAAATGGAATCTACACAATAGGGAAGGAAAGGGGTTCATTTTTGTACCTTAGAATGAAGCTCCTTGCTTGAATAACTCATAACAATAACCTTCCTTGGTCCCTCTTGCTGAAACTCTTCTTCTTTCTTGCAAAATCACACCAAAAAGCTCAAGATAGCTCTTCCTCTCACTCTACACACTCAAGCTCGCTAGGGTTCTCACTTATGGGAAAGGTAGTCGTAATTGAAGGCCATAAGTGCCTTTAAATATGGCTCGGGCCCAACGATTTAGGGTTTCTGCCAACAACGCGGACTCGTCGAGTCGCCTCACCGACTCTTTGAGTCCATTCATTAATCTGAGTCATTAGTCGCGACCTTACTCGACGAGTTGAGGCGTCAACTCGTTGAGTGTCTCTTCTTAACTCAAAAGAAAAATACTTAAATTGTGATACCTGGAAATCCGGATGTTACATTTTGTTTTTTTTTTTATTTCATAGATTTCTTCATCAATAAATGTTGCTACAATTAAACAAAAATAAATAATTTGCTAAAACATAATACAATAGGAAGTTTGTTCACATTTAGCCATTGAACTTTTTAGAGGGAAACGAACTTTCGATTTCGTTCACATTTAGTCACTAAACTTTTTTTCGTTATCTATTTGCCACTAAACTATTGAAACTGTTCACATTTTACCCTTATGATCGGTAACAGCCGGTCATAAGGGTAAAATGTGAACAGTTTCAATAGTTCAATGGCAAATACATAACGAAAAAAAGTTTAGTGACTAAATGTGAACAAAGTCGAAAGTTCGTTACCCTTTCAAGTCATTATCCCCAAAAAATAATATTCTGCAAAACCAAAAACCCATAAGCATAGCTATACGATTGTTCAGCATTGTTGGTTTTGGTGGAATTTTCTTTAGCAATAGACTGCACCGAGTAACTTTCAAACTCGCAATATAGTAGAAACCAAACTCAACATTTTGCGATAACCCGATCATAATAAACAATTTGATGACAATAAAATAACCAATAATATTTAGTTACTTTGTATTTAAGGATAAAATTGTATTATTATACACTAGGACGAAAAATAAAAGTTGCTCAAAACAAGAAGGGAAATGACTTAAAAAGGTAATGAAGTTTCAAAAATGTACAAAAAATACAATTATTTTATTTTTAGTACTCAAAATATCATTAAAGTATATTTTTTATACACAAAATACCAATGAAGTACATATGTGTTCAAATAAAACCTTGTGGGTAACCTACAATAGCCGGTAAAATGGTATTTTGTGTACAAAAAAAAAACAATGGTCTTTTTTGTACATTTTTGAAACTTCGTTATCTTTTTAAATCATTTTTCCTTCTTTGAATGTAATGGAAATTTAGCTATTTTTTATAAAGAACCCTCCACTTCACTTCGGCCACTACTGTACTTCATCGGACCCTCCACCACCATGGAAAAACCCTTTTTCTTATTCTTCTTCCTAATCATCTGCCTACTTTCATCAACGCCGGAATCTTGCCAGCCACCTCCGTTTCTCGGCAAATCCCCACGGCTTCTCAAAACCCAAAACATTCTCGTTCAGCTGAAGTACACTTACGAGACACGATACTTTGATTAGACTCTTGATCATTTCAGCTTCAATGATCTTCCCAAGTTCCAACAACGTTATCTCATCAACATCGAATGGTTCGTTGCCAACACCGACTTCGTTTGGGAACTCACCCCTCGTTTGGGAAGTAAGATCTTTTCCAACAATTTCAATAAAAATTAAACAAACAGTTGCTGATTACACTCTTCTCATCCCATTTACCTGAAGTCTGGTTACCACAATGTTTTAGTTGAACACATGTGTATTTTGTTGGTATTCTGTGTACAACTAGTAACGTTAATGGAATTTTTTGTACTAAAAAAACAACAATGATATTTTTTAAACATTTGGAAATCGGATAACCTACAATAACCGGTAAAATGGTACTTTGTGTACAAAAAAACAACAATAATTTTTTTTGTACAATTTTTAAACTTCGTTACCTTTTTAAGTCATTTTCCCAAACAAGAATGTGTTTAAATTTGTTGTTTGAATAAATCTTATATTTATTTATTTATTTATAAATGTTGTCAAGTTCATTATTGTGGATATAAAAAGAAAATCTTGAAACAGAGCATGATAAAAAGAAAATTTGTATATATTTCCATCTCCTTTTTCTGACTAACCGCACCCCATTCCAAAAATTCTTATAATAATGCCAAGAATCAAACAGAAGAAACTTTGTGCGTCCCACGAATCTCATCCACTCGCGAGAAAAACTAAACACACATATAGATATAGACATATACGTATAGATACACAGAGAGAGAAAGAAAGAGTGAGACAAATTTGAGGGAGAGATTTTACCTGGAAGCTTCAAATCATTTTTTTGTCTTGAGAAATCAAATTCATGTCGATGCTTCAACCAAATCTCAGCTGTTTATGCTAAAATCTTGAAGAATCAAAAGGGAAAATGTGGGAATAAAGTTTCCGAATTGGGATATTCGTTATAAGCCCTAACCCTAGTTCTTACCTCCAGCAAATCTAAGTGATACCTTCATTGCCATTGAAGAAAAGGATACGCAGCTGGTGGAAGACGCGAAACCTCTCAAGAATGAGATTATCAGAATGAGGTTCAACTCCCATTCGAATTCAGACACCCCCCCTTCTGAACCTGACGAAACCCTAACAACCCCAGATAAAAATAGTCCCGTTTCGTTAAAACCAGATTTCACCTCTCCGCTTTCCGACCAGATACTGATTAGCATCCTCTCCAATCTCACAAAATCACAACAAATTTCAAGCTGTTTAGTTTGTAAACGGTGGTTGCGAATTAGCGGTGGTTTAGTGAAATCCTTGAGATTATTAGATTGGGATTTTCTTGATTCCGGTAGACTCGCCCATCGTTTTCCCAATCTTCTTGATGTTGATATCGTTCAAGCTTGCATAGTATCCCCTCGTAATTCGGGTATTTGTTTCAGTAATAAATTTGTGTCAATTCATGTTAATTCCTTCATATCAGATTCCGAGTTTATCTGGAAACCTGATTTTTTGAGTCCTAATTTGATCGATAGAGGTGTTCAGATACTTGCTCAAGGCTGCCCTAATTTACGAAGGCTTGTCTTGCTTGGTGCAACCAACGAAGGGTTAGCATCTATCGCAAATGAATGTTTAGCTTTACAGGAACTAGAGCTATGTTCCATTACAGACATGGATTTAAAAGGACTTGCAGGTTTTAGAAACTTACAGATCCTAAAACTCATAGGCTCTGTTGATGGGTTATATGACTCAGTGATTTCAGATATCGGGTTAACCATTTTGGCTCAAGTATGTCCAAGATTACTGAAACTTGAACTTGTTGGTTGTGAAGGGAGTTATGATGGGATCAAAGCTATTGGTCAATGTTGTCAAATGATGGAAGAATTGACCCTTTCTGATCATAGATTGGAAGGTGGGTGGTTAGCAGCATTGTCGTATTGCACAAATTTGAAGACTTTAAGGTTTCAATCTTGCAAATTCATTGATCCAAGTCCAGGGCCTGATGTTCATTTAGGTTGTTGTCCTACCCTTGAAGAATTACATTTACAGAGGTGTCAATTGAGAGATAAACAAGGTTTAGGAGCTTTGTTTTTGGTGTGTGAAGCTGTTAGGGAACTTGTTTTTGAAGACTGTTGGGGATTGGATAACAACACATTCTTTACTGCAAGTATTTGCAGGTGTTTTTCTCTTTCACTTTCTTTTAACTTTTTTCTATTTACTTCTCTTATCTACTCATTCCATTTGTGTCATTTTCTCAAATATCTTTTAAAAGACCAACGCTTTTATCCAAATAAAACACAGCACTTATACTATCATTTTTACAACGTATATATATAGTATGTTATTAAAAGGGGGACTTTTTTTTTTGACATGTTTTTTTGTAGGAGAGTGATGTCTTTATCTTTGGAAGGATGCTCGTTGCTTACAATGGAGGGATTTGACCCTGTAGTTGTTTCATGGAAAGAGCTTAAGAGACTTAAAGTGGTTTCTTGTAACAACATAAAAGACAGTGCCATGTCACCCGAATTAGCGACGCTTTTTTCTCTTCTTAAAGAGTTGAAATGGCGCCCTGATTCCAAGTCTATTCTCTCATCAGGTCTTAATGGCACTGGAATATGGCAGAAAGGTGGAAGAAGCTTCAAGATCTAACTCTCAATTCTCTTTTTTTTTTTTTTTTTTTTTTTTTTTAATAGTTAGGAGGATTGTCACTCAACAAGTTTAGGAAAAAAAAAAAACAAGTTTAGGAAAAGCGGCTCTGTTTTTATCTTCAACAGGAGAGTATACTTGCTCTAGTTTTTTCTCATAAAAAATTTAGTCGTAGGATTTAGAGAACAAGTGTATCACAAGTCACTGTTATTTGTTCCTTTTTTTTTTCTTTTTATAAATTTTACTTCCACATATAAATTTTTGCCCGATTTGTGTTGTTTGGCTTTATTTGTTTCACTGGACTGGATGAGTTGTTTTGAAATGTTGTGATTTAGATATAGTTTGGGTTAAACAAAAATGGAATAAAAAAGAAACCACGATATTAGTATTATTATTATTATTGATAAAAATAATAAGAAATTACATATTTTGGTTGGTTCCTAGGTGTATGATTGATTTTCAGTTTTGGTCGTGAGGTTTGTTTAATGAGGATTGTAAAGTCTTAGCAAACTGGGTAGTTGATACAAAGTTGATGAAAGTCATGTGCTGTATTTCGAAGCAGAAGCTGTTAAGGACTGAAAGTGACTAAAGGAAAACTCGAAGGCTGCAAGTGGAACTTTGCTGATATATATATATATATATATATATATATATATATATATATATATATATATATATATATATATTATATATATATATATATATATATATATATATATAGAAGTAGTTGTGAAAATTAAAACATAATTTTAAATATGAACGATTAAATGAAAAGTTTATTTGAATTTAAAATAAAAAGAAGTGAAAATTATGAAAACAAAACATACAAAAAATAAATTAATTAAAACTATATGTTTAATTGTTAGATCCGTGTACTAAACGAATTATTATAATAAAATGTTAAATAAAAAAATTTAAAATGTAAATTTATTTAAAACTGAAATTGAAATTAATAGTCATTATAGTAGGTTTAATTTATCAAAACTAAATTAATGATATAGTTGAAATGAATAATGAAGTAATTGATAAGTGGAAAATAAATATATTTCAAAATTATGATAAAATGATATGTAACTAGTTAAATGAGATAATGACAAATGACAATTATATTTTTATTTATTAGGGTAGATGCGAGAAGCGTAAATCGTCTCATTAAGGGTTTCGTCTACATTCTTGTGAGTGAGAGCTTAGATGCAGTTAATCGCTTCGACATGTTTGCTTCATGTTTACATATAGTCATTGTTTATATCTATTTGTTCATGTGTATGAAATTGATGAACTCCAAAAACTTTATATATTGTGACGTTTTTTTTTCCTCTTTCCTATGCATGCAATTGATGATTTCTAGTGGTTTGTCATTTGGTTGCTATGAATATTTTCAATCACCCACAACAATTAATCCATCGGCTAAACTAATGTGTTTTTTTGTTTTTTTTTTTTTGTTTTTTTTTTTGTGCGTCTTTCATCCATAGATAAGCACATTGTTACAACCAATACTATTGTTTATATTAAAAATTAGCAAGAGTTTTTTTAATTTCAGGGCTTTAAAGTATAGTAAGAAAGATTAGTTTGTGATTTATTATGTAAGCATGTTTGATTGTGATTTTTTTAGGAAAAAAGACTATATAACTTGTTGGTGCTTAGAACTTGACACAGAACATGAAATAGATCCATGGTGTGGTTTATTTTTATTTCTTTTGTTTTGATTATTTTATCAAAATTGCAAATGGGACCACACGGGTGAGAATGTTTTCTTGATACAATTTCATATTAATCTTGAATTTATTAATGATAAAAAAAAAAGTAAACAGACAATTCTAAATTTCACCACAAGGATTACGATGGATCGGTTCAACCTTTGAAAGGAAGTCGAAAACTGAAGCAATTCCATTTGACCTTTCCCCATGTAAGATGATGCTTGTCATTATTCTCTTGGAAGTGCATTTTCAAGATTTTGTATCTTTTAGACTATTACTTTGTGAACTTGCAGAGTCACTTAAATAGTCATATGGAATTTTTTTGAAGTATTGTATAAAACAAACGTTGATATATAATATTTATATGTTTTATTAGGTTAGTATATATGATGATTTTCAAAATTTTTCCCCAAGTTTAATATCCATATATTTGTATATATGTTATAATCTGAGTATATAATGCTGTAATAATTATAAATTATATGCATTTGTGTTATGAAAGTATTTTTGTCGGTATTTTTTTGGAAACGGTATATATATATATATATATATATATATATATATATACACGGTCACACGATTAGCAAGAAACTGAAATGCGGACAAAGGAGACAAGAGATGGAAAATAAAGAAATAGATAACAAGAAGAAAATTAGAAAATGAAAGGTGAACAACTCCATTCCGTCTTGAGTACTTGTATGTTTCTACCAAATATATGATAGGGAGATTATAACATCAGCAATTTTTGTAGGGGGTGTGTCTGTGTTTTTGAAGACCTTGTCGTTTCTAGTTGTCCAAATGCACCAAATAGAAAAAAGAATACAGTGCTTAAAATCAATCTCTTTTTTGGGCAGTTACCATAAGAATCAGCAAGTCAATAAGCTCCAAAACATTTGAGAATTTCTTGCATTGTATTCCACACCAACTGAAGATCCATTCGATGACTACCTGTGTGTAACTACAACATACAAGAAGATGATCCAACATTTTCGTTTCCTTATAACATAGCGGACATAATGAGGTGGGAATGATTATGCCCCTGTTTGCCAAAGTTGCTTAGAATTCTAAGTTTAGTTCTATAGTGACAAGAAGATTTAACTCTCATTCTCTTTTTTCTTTTTCCTTTTTTTTAATAGTTTGTAGGATTGTCACTCTTCAAAGTTTAGAAAAAGTGGTCTGTTTTTATCTTCAACAGGAGAGTATACTTGCTCTAGTTTTTTCTCATAAAAAAATTAGTCTTAGGATTTAGAGAACAAGTATATCACAAGTCACTATTATTCGTTCCTTTTTTTAATTAATTTTTCTTCTACATATAATTTTTTTGCCCGTTTTGTGTTGTTGGGCTTTATGTGTTTCACTGGACTGGATAAGTACAATTGAAAAAAACAGTTACTATTATAAGAATTTTATATGGAAAATTAGTTGTTATATATTTCCCTTCAAAAAATGAGTTGTTTTAAAATGTTGTGATTAAGATAGAGTAAATTACACGAATGGTCCCTATGGTTTGGGGTAATTTGTACGTTTGATCCCTAACTTATTTTTTTAACTCGGAAAGTCCCCACAGTTTTTTTTTTGTTTTTGTTACGCGCTTAGTTCCTTCTGTTTGTTTTTTGTTACAAGCTTGGTCCTTGTATTACCTAAAAATACTATTATTTAAATAAGAAAAAATGGTGGGGTAGGTAAGGTAAGGTGAGAGGATGAGATTGGGTGTAACGCCCACTTCTTGGTATGTATTTAATTCTCAATTTATTCATCTTTGCATAGAAACTCGACGATTTGGAGGCCCCAAAATCTTCGAGTAGAGATGGATTTGGACGCGGGTTGTGAAGTCTACTCGATGAGTAGGACTGACAGAATGAAACCCTAATTTTAAGAGTTTTACACCCTATTTAAACACCTTAACCCCCATAAGTTGGCTTCATTTACAACCTCCATTGTCTCAAACCCTAGCCACGAAACCCTAATTCACTTTTGAGAGTTTTAAGCCACTTTTGTTCATTCTTTGTGATTTTGAAGAAGATGATACTTGAAGAAGGAGCAAGGACGTGTAAGAGAAGGGTAGGTCCAGAAATTAAGCTTCATTAGTGGTTCATCTGAGGTATAAAGCTCCTACCTTGCTTATAGTATGTTTAGATATAGTTTTAGGAGGTTTTCTCCATATTTTGGTCCAAGAATGTTGGTCTTTGGGACTTGGACGTCCCATAGGGGAAAACTTTCAAATCTAGGGTCTATAGGGGACTTCATGGCATAAATGTGCCAACTTTATGGCCATGGAAGTCCCATGAAACTAGTGGACCATCTTTTTGGCCTTTTGAGCCAAATAGTCTATGCATGCAAGTAAAGATAGGAACTTTACGTGACCAAACTGTCCAACGAGTTTAAATCTATGATCCTATGGCTTATCACGAAGTTTTGATGGTTTTTGAAATTGGAACTAACCCATTTTGAGCTTGGGTTTGTGCTCATTTCTTATAGGATGGGTCTTAATGGGTAAAGTTAGAAACTTTACCCTACTAGACGTGTTTTTGACTCAGATCTGGAATATAGGACTTAGACTTGAAGAATAATGGCTTAACACATTAAGAAAGCTTATCAGACTAAAGAACTTGACGAGTTCATAGAGGAGCTCGATGAGTTGAGTCGAAATGTACCGATTCTGCGAAGGAAAGGCTCGATGAGTTCAAGGATGGACTTGACGAGCTGGATGGGAAAGTCCCAATTTTGTGGATAGGAGGAACTCGACGAGTTAGATCGCTATTTCAGGGTTTAGGGATTTATGGAAATCAGCGAGTTGATGGTCTAACTCGGCGAGCTGAGTTAACCCAGAATGTTGACCTTGACTTTGACTTTGAAAAAAGTTGACCCATAAGGGGATATGGGTATGAAAGGGTAATTAAGGAAATCTTTTATGTATAGGAGTTTGAGTTGGGTGGATTGACGGAGCCAAAGATTTCTTGCTACTTTATAGCAATTGATGTGAGTTACCTTCTAGTAGAAGTGGGTCGAAGGCACCAATACTGACCCCCCGACCCACTAGTAGTTGATTATAGTTGAGATAATTTTCTTTGTGATAATAGTCTGGTATACCATTATTTGTTATGATTTATGTGCTAGTATGCTATGATATTATGTGATAGTGGTAGGAGGGGTATGATAGACCCCGATACCGGTTGTAAGGACCGAAGGGGTAGACCAGCACCCAGATATGCTAGGCAGTATGTGACTTATGTGTTTATGTACTAGGATGATATGTGGTAGTGGTAGGGGTGAAATAGTCCCTGTTACCGGTTGAAAGAGACCGAAGGGGTAGG